ACTTTCCCTCGCGTTCGTGCGTTCGACCACACCAATTCCTGTGAAGGGTTGCAAAATTTATTTCAAAGCACATGAAAAGTAGTAACTTTACCTAGCGTTCGTGCATTCAACCATGCCAATCCCTGTGAAGGTTGCAAAATGCCAATCCCTATGAAGGGTTGCAAATTGCACCTCAATGCTCTTAAAAGCACTTCAAAGTAGCAACTTTACCTCGCGTTCGCGCACTCAATCACGCCAATCCCTTTGAAGCGTTGCATGCACTCGACCACGCCAATCCCTGTGAAGGGTTGCAAATTGCGCTTCGAAGCGCATCGAAAGTGGTAACTTTCCCACACGTTTGGGCGCTCGACCACGCCAATCCCTGTGAAAGGTTGCACGGGAAGGTTAACAGTACAGTAACTTTCCCGCACGTTTCAACACTCGACCACGCCAATCCATGCAAAGAGTTGCGCGTCGACTGCAAAATGTGTAGCTTTACCTAGCGTTTGGGCGCTGGACCAAGCCAATCCCTGTGAAGGGTTGCGCCGCACACCTATTAAGTTCAAAAATGTGTGACTTTACCTAGCGTTTGGGCGCTCGACCGGGCCAATCCCTGTGAAAGGTTGCACGGGGCGCCTAAAATGTGTAACTTTACCTAGCGTTTGGGCGCTCGACCAAGCCAATCCCTGTGAAAGGTTGCGCGCGGCGCCTAAAATATGTAACTTTACCTAGCGTTTGGGCGCTCGACCAGGCCAATCCCTGTGAAGGGTTGCACGCGGCGCCTAACATGTGTAACTTTACCTAGCGTTTGGGCGCTCAACCAACCCAATCCCTGGGAAAGGTTGCACGCGGCGCCTAAAATTTGTAATTTTACCTTGCGTTTGGGCGCTCGACCAAGCCAATCCCTGTGAAGGGTTGCACGGGCACCACAAAATGTGTAACTTTACCTAGCGTTTGGACGCTCGACCAAGCCAATCCCTGGGAAGGGTTGCACGGGGCGCCGAGTAACTTGAAAAATGTGTAACTTTACCTAGCGTTTGGGCGCTCGACCAAGCCAATCCCTGTGAAGGGTTGCGCGCGGCGCCTAAAATATGTAACTTTACCTAGCGTTTGGGCGCTCGACCAGGCCAATCCCTGTGAAGGGTTGCTCGCGGCGCCTAAAATGTGTAACTTTACCTAGCGTTTGGGCGCTCGACCAGGCCAATCCCTGTGAAGGGTTGCATTCCAGATCGATGACGACGGTGCCACCCTGGCTTTAGAAGAGAGATTAGATACTGAGATGTAGATACAGAGTCATAGAGTCACAGTGTCATAAGAGTCAGTCATAGAGTCATAGAGTCAAGTGTCATAGAGTCATAGTGTCACAGAGTCAAGTAAGTATCTAAGTCACAAAGTCACAGAGTCATAGAGTCAAGTGTCAAGTACAAGTCATAGTTCATAGGGTCAAGTACAAGTCATAGTTCATAGAGTCATAGAGTCATAGAGTCGAGTACATAGAGTCATAGAGTCACAGAGTCATAGTGTCATTGCATGTCATCTATGTATTCGACTCTATGTCTGTCATCTATGTACTTCTCTAACCGGCTCCGCACGGAAGAACCCTTCGCGATGCTTTCGGGAAAACAAGCTACAGTACTGAAGCAACCTAGCTGCACAAAGCCTGAGGAACAAGGAAGGGAAGAAGGCTTCCAAGACCCCTCCCCAGGCGGCTTCGGTCGTTCTCGTCGCGGAGCCTGCCAAAGCCTTGCCAGCAGTGTTTTACATGCGTTGGGTCATAGCACCGACGCTGGTACGACAAGCATTGCAGATTGGGTAGGTTTACCGCCACCTACAGTCATTGCACCGGAAATCCTGAATCCCAAACTGCCGATACCCGCACGCACACACACACACACACACACACCCACAAATGCGCGTACGCACAGACCCGTGGGAGCCTCCACACCGTACACCGCAGAAGGGTCGCCTGCCGCAACCTGAATTTTCAGAATGACATTCTCTGGGAGGTCCACAAAAGATATCCTTCTAACGGCGTTCTTCGCCATTGCCGATGGTCGAAGGGGAGGCTGGATCCCGCTGGCGTCAGCTGAGGTCGATTTGCGTCAAGCCCAATGTCCGGTTTGAGCCTAGATGCGGCTGCATGGCCCTGCAGAGAAGCAAGCCCTTGACGCCGGTTGGGGTGCTACAGCTGACCGACTGGTGAATGAGTCCGTAACTCGTGCATCCCAACCAACTGTTCGCAGTCAACAGACTGAGGCAGCTGTTCTCAAAATTATAGGCTTAAGCTGAAGGCCAAGTCACTATCGGTTGAAACTTCTCAATGCACCTGGCAGTACGGAATAGACCGAATGGTTCAATACGGATGAATACCACCCGAAAGAAACTTCCGTGAAGGCACCTTGAGGAGACAGCCGCCCACACTTCGGCTGCTGCACAGTCCTTCGTCTGAATCTTGTTCAGAAGGCCGGTAAACTGCCACGGTGTTCTTTGCTAGCTGTCTGGGCTCTCGCGCTACCACCTGGCAATCGTCAGAGAGCAGTCGCATCAAGATGCAATGCAAGCAGGGCAACCATAATGTGTTGATTTGCGACGGTTGTAGCAGTTGCAGGAAGACGACACTCCCAGAAGCCATGGTAAACCTTCGACGAGCTCAGTCAGACGAAGAATGGACTGTGCTAGGTGCTGGGCTGATGATGCGCCAGCACAACAAATTTTGGGATTAACAAGCAACAGCTCAACTCAACATAGCGCTGGGCAAAGAGATTCGTTGAGCATTTGGCAGGGCTCCTCTGCTGTCTAGATGATCACATCTGCGGTCTACATAAATTCAGCAGCAGGATCCGCCACATGCTAGCTTTCCTCGTATGAGATGCAGGCCCAGGCTAAGATATGATACTTGCACAGGTTGACATATTATGATGCATGGACACAACCCGCCTGCCTGGCTTGTTCGCAACAAGACTTTGAACTCTCATGCCGTAGTGAAGCCAATTCACCGCTGTGAAGACCTTGAACGAGTTCTCTCTAAAGGGGCCGACCTGCAGTTTGTCCGCTACGTTGGCGGAACGCATGTTTCCTGGATGATGTTGTCCACACGGGGAAGCCTAGCAACGAGCGGGGCTAGCGGTTTCGCTGAGTTCGCAGCGTGACTTCAGATAGTACTATGAGGACTTGTTGATCAAGCTTTGAGTTCTACGGGCCGTAGTCAATCTGCAAACGGCCTGCTGTTCATTGCTCAGGCGTAGGTGTGGCCAGGTGCGGTGCAGGGTTGAATTATCAACATGCCGATTTCGAAACACTTGCTTCGAGGACGTAACCCAGATATTGAAAACCGAGCTACCTTTGCCGAGGCTCTGGCAGTGTCACGAAATTTCCCTTCAGCTCTGAACCAAACAGTCTTAGAACTGCCACTGTAAAGGTCATGCTACACCCATGCACTCAGCGTCCTGTTTATAAACCGGAAGCCCCTAAACCCTAATTAAATGACGCACTCTGGGCGGTTGAGCTGCCGACCAAAGTCTGGCAGTTTTCACCAGGAGCTCCCCGTCGATCGGTGACGTCCGCATCTCCTCCCAAGGAAGCTCAAGGCACGTGCTGTTGAGGACTTGGCAGGTTGGGTTTTTCTGTCAAATCAACGAAAGTGGAATCTCGAAGAAATTTAAAGAAAATTCCATCTGCAGTAGAGTCTGGCCGAACTGAACAAGGTGCCGCAGGTGTAGCTTAGAACTGTGCGATAGGGAGGCGGGGACTTCGAGTCCGGAATTTGCTACAGACAAGCGCATGTTGAACAAACTTGAACAGCCCGTCTAGCATGCAGACTTGTCAGTCGATTTTGGAGAGGCTAATCGTACTTCGGAAAGGCACAACTGGCATATTTCCGTGCAAGGAATGTGGGATTTGGGGCTGGGGAGCCTCACTGCTTCTACTCTCCGGATCGTCTCAAATTTTCTCGGATGACTCCAAATCTATTTCTATCTGAAATCCTTGACATAGACGTCAAACATACAGAGAGAGAGAGAGAAGTGAGAGAAAGAAAGAAAGAAACTTTATGCAGTTTCAACATTTATGGTGCATGTTCATCTGTTCGTGTCTCAGGGCGACGGAGTCTGCGGTACCGGCATCCCCGTGGTCCTGATTCACCAGCTCCAACCTGGGCGAAGGCTTAGCGTTCAGGGCACTGCGACGAAGGAGAAAGCGTTGGAACTGGCAAGGATACGGCCACGGATCATGGTAGCACGGACAGTGGCTCTGATGATCATGGTACTGCGGAACGAGCTGTCAACAAGTCCGAATAAAGTGAAAACCGACCTCTAATACCAATGACCGAGTCTCATCCCCATCATTATCACCATCATCATCCTAATTGCCTTGATCTTCAACATCATTACAGTCATCCTTCTTTCCGTCCTCCCAGCCCTTTTCAGTGTCATCATCGAACTTAGCCAGATCGCTAGTAACAGCAAGAGCTAGAGGAGGTACCGTCGCAGGAACGCAGTAGTCGCCGTCGTCCTCGTCGTTGTCGTCGTTGTCGTCGTCAATGTAAGATCAGCAACAGTGCCCATCATCAGTATGCACAGATAACATGGAAACAAACATTGACGTGCGACTGAGAATGAAACTGTGCTGCAAGACTAACATGAAGTCATGAAGTCAGACATGCTTGTATGAGCACAGATGTATTAACAAACGATTCGTTTGACCCTGAGCCTGCGCCAACCCTCCATGATCTGATATGGCGAAGCTACACATTCTGCGTGCTTGGTCTTCACTGCATCCCTCAACCAACCCGCACAGACTTCGGTAAAGGAGACATCTTGAATGTGTTTATTGATTGAAAGATGCAGCACTGCCCAACACTCAACCTTTCGAGCTTGCAGGAGTTGACACTACTACTACTACTTGGTGCGCCGCACAGCTTCCATGCCACGTGCTGCCATGAGACGCCTGAAGCACCAAATCCCGCAATTAGCGGAACATGGTCCATGCTCAGCTCATTGGTAATGCTGATGAGAAACGGACCTACTTGCATACCATTGAGAGCAGCGGCACCTACCAGCAGCTAGTGCAGAGACAGGCAGAGATGTGCAGAGATGTATAAATATGTCATACCATCTGAGGGACTCACAGCTGTTTCTTGCTATGGCACAGTCTCGCATGAAATTTGCTTTCAAGAGTTAGGCCCATAGGCCTCCTGGGAGGTTGGAGGGACTTGCGAACTCAAGCGTTGAAACGGGGTGACTCAAGCCTCGTTCTTCAGGGCCCTGCACTTTGCTGAAGAGGTTTGAATCGTTGGAACGTAGGAGTGTGCTGCCTTAGGTCGGATGGTACCATGACAGAACCTCCAAACAGGCTCTGCGCAACACATCTTTGGACATGGGGAAGTTTGGCCTCTTCTGCAGCTGGAAGAGTGCAAGGGTCACGGCCTGACTTTCTGCACTTCCGAGACATGAAGAGTCAAGCGATATCCAACCCACGAGACTGCAATAAGACACAAACAGCGTGATCCTCGGACTGGGCTTGCCGGCAAAGTACCAGGCCTTCCCTTCAGGGCATCTTTGAAACCAAGCGCGCAGTAGTGTTGTGACAATCATACTTTGTAGGCCATGGTCACTAGGATCCGAGTAGCCCAAACTGCAGGCCCCATCTCAATCCTGGTCAACACCTGAAGAACACCAAGTCACCAAGTCACCAGAAGAAAGAGCTCTACACTCATCGAAGCTGGTCGAAACTTTAAGAAGGCCCTCCAGCCGAGGCCAGGCCGGGCTCCGCTGGGCTCCGCGCCAGCACGCCGCGAAGCCCGGCCTCTAAGAAGATGTCCATGGCCTGGGCGGGAATCTGAGCCTTCCCCATGGACCGAAAGAGATCGTGATCCCTAGCTTGCCTGGAGCCGCGTCCTAGCACCAAAAACAACCTTCCACCACGCAGTCCGAACACCCTGATTTTCAATCTTCCATGGCCTCGATGACTGCTGGAAGAGGTAGCCATTTCCCTGGCTTAATGGTGAGCTTGAGATTTGTGCAGTCTTGAGATAGACATCCATCTCATGATGCAATCTCACTACAGAGAGCCTGCTGCGCAGCTCGCTCATGCAGCGGCTTACGGCTTCAGCTGATAGCTTTTGTGGGATTCGAGGACGCTTGATCGTTAGTCCTGTTGCATTTCCGCAGCTTCTGGCCGGCCGTGGCAGCAATAACCGCGAGTAGAGGATCTGGCAAACTCACGCCACCTAGCTGACTTTCTCAGGGCAGCCTCGTTACGTTCACATGACATGAAGTAGCATGCAAGGACCAATCAGCGGCAAACACCCTGAAGACGGTTCAGAAAAGCAAGACACGGCGCACCGAAAAGGGACAGCCAACCTCAGGAAGTGAAAGGAGTGCCGATTCAGGGAGTTGTGATGTGGGGGTGACACCACCACATCAGATACCCAAACTGTGGCGATGGCAAGTGCATGCAATGCTCGCTCTCGAAATGGAAATCTGAGTCCAGACGAAGCCACCCAGCAACGCACACCGCAACACATAGAGTGGAGCATCGTATCTCTAACCACAACTGAGAGAAGAAGTACAAAGAACAAGCGATAACGAAACCGAAGCTTTGAGCACTCAGGCCCCACATTCCAGATCCAACCATCTGAGATGAGTGCCATTGGGCACATAGCTCAGGGTCAACACACCACAGCCTCGTGTGGCGTGGAGGGGGTTGGGGAAGGGCAGTCAAACAAATTCATAGCCTTGAAACCAGCAGTCAGCACAACGGTCAAGACCGAAGCTTAACAGGATAACGTCCAATGCTGATGCAGAAGGCATACGATAACGATGATGCGATGATGGTTGTGATGCTGTGATGGTGATGGCGCGTTGACTGCGACCGTGACAACGGCAAAATGTGGAAATAATTGTAGTGATGACGAAGGCTCTGACAGCTGTTATGACGATAAGGCTATCAATGCTGTTGTTTGTCATGCTGGCCGCAATTACACCAGATCATCTTGAGCACAGGAATTTTACCTCGGGCGTTGATGTTTGACCATGGTACCTACTACTACATGCACCAGCATTGTCATCGTCGTCCTTGCGTCGTCAGTCCTCGTCCTCGTCCTCGTCCTCGTCCTCGTCCTCGTCCTCGTCCTCGTCCTCGTCCTCGTCCTCGTCCTCGTCCTCGTCCTCGTCCTCCTCCTCCTCCTCCTCCTCCTCCTCCTCCTCCTCTTCCGCCAAAAACTCGTCCTCCTCCTCCTCCTCATCCTCATCCTCCTCTTCTTTCTGTTCCTCTTGCTCCTCATCTGCTTCTTCATCTTCTTCATTATCATCGTCATGACATCATCATCAGCAGCAGCATTGGCATGATCATTTCTGCACTCCCCACCGAGCGCGTCATCATCATTGCGAAATCCTCCTGTTAATATCATATTGATTGCAATAAATGTTATGAATTAAAGGATGCAATTCTTTTGGGGTAGCTTTGAAACCTCTAGGATTGTCGAGCTCGATCCATTTCGGAACGGACAGCGCATGTGCAGTCTCGTTTCCTCCCAAGCTCCAGAAGCTTCGGGTCATGCCTTCTGCCATTCGCGGAGTCTGCTGGGATCTCAACAGTAGACTCTGCAAGTCGCAAGGAGCAGGTGTTGATCTTCTTGCACTGTACAGCCGCTCCCACCCAGTGGGCTCTTTACAGAAAGGGTGCGGAACCCTGCTTCAAAGGTCGCACCTGAAACGATGCCCAGAGGCTAAAGAAGCGCACAAATTAAATGAAAGACCTGCAAACGCTCTACCAGCTTGGGGTCCCTTCGCTCAGATCAGGATTGGCGCATCGAGCGCGCGAAGAGACCGGGATTTGCTCAACGCAGCCAGGGACGGAATGGTGGTGTTCCACATCAGCTCCTGCCCGTCCGGGCTATTAGTATAGGATTTGGTGCCTAGGGCATAACTATAGGGATCCAAACGCTCTGCTCTGCCGAGGTCGGCTCCTCGGCATCCATACGGCCTCTCCGCTTCTCGGCACGTCCTGGAAAGCGCAAGGCCTTGAAGAAGAAGCCGTCCTGTGCTGTCGGGTGCTGATTTGGCCGACGACTTGTGCGACTGCTACAATGGTACTGCTACTACTGCTACTGCTGCGACTAATTATTGCTCCTACTCCTCCTGCTCCTCCTACTCCGCCTACTCCCCCTCCTACTGCTACTGCTACTGCTGCTACTGCTACTGCTACTCCTACTCCTACGACTCCGACTACGACGACGACTACTACTACTGCTACCTACTGCTACTGCTACTGGCACTTGCTATTGACATTGTGCTAGAACAACACAAACCGACAAACAAAAAAGTAAAGACACAGGGTCATTGAGGTCTGCATCCATCAGGTTGTATCCGAGGTGCTGTTGCAGTATGCGGAGGTCGCAAGCCGGGCACCCTCATATGGCGGCGGCAGCACCAGGTCCAAGCCCACCGGCCCCTGAGACTTGCCGAGATGGGGCTGCAGTCTGCTTCCGCCGCTGCCCACGATCCTCGATTTGACGGTGTTCCTACGTAGTAAAGATGCCTTTCGCGAGACCTGAAGCTGGCCTCATTGGGCTCCAAACCAACGAAAATCTTGAGGAATTTACCACAGACACATTGCCGGCACGAAGTTTCAAGAAAGCACATCCAATCTACACGCCGGCCCGGATCCCCCTCCCAATTCTGCTCAGCTGTGGCTCAGATGCAAGGGCAACCCATCGACTTTGAAGGCTTGGAACATGTGGAAGTGGCCATGGATGGAGGCGGAGATATCCTGGTCAACAAGCTCAGGGTTCTAGCATCTCAAGTCTTGGGGAGCGGTTGAGGCTGGCTCAGGGTTAGAGGCTCCGGCGGTGTTCGGAGTTATGTTTGGCCCGGCAGTGCGGGCTAGCGGTTGTGCTAGTAGCATGCATCTCCCGCAGCCTTGTAGGTGTTGTTGCTGAGCGCCTGCAGGAGAGAGCTCGGCGAGGGGCCGGGGTAGCAGGATTCTGGCCGAGATTTGTGTAGTCTAGATGATGGAACTCAGGATCATTACGTACACTAGGAAAGCTTGCAAAGTACCTGCTGCAGTGTCCACTCAATGGTGAAGAATTTGCCCTGGTGGCAAACGAAGCCAAAGATGGGACGGTGGCTGACAAAGAAGTGTGTCTTCCCTGGCGTCCTCAGCTTCTCCGACTCCTCAAGTCAAAATGACGGCGGTAAATGTCTACCTGCTCCAGAATCTCAGCCTTTGTCAGACTCTGATTCGGATCATCCAAACGGTTCAGCGTGCCGATGTTTCCGGTGGGATTCTTGGGACATTTGTCATCTGTTTTGACATCATCAACCATGGCTGTGTCCAGGATAACAAACTGCATGTCGGCAAAAGTAACGGCATAGGGATCCGTGTAATCCTGAAAAGACTTCAGCCGTCAAAGCACTCTGACTTCCATGTTCACAGCTCCTGTTCTCCTTTAGGTTCTCCGAAGATGAAAGACTCTGAGAAGCGGTCCTGGCAGCACTCCTCATGGAGCAGCTCTGGATAGGGCCGGGGGTCCAAGAATAGAAAATATCCATTGCCTAGGTCCAGGTTGCTGTCGGCATCCGTCAGTAGCAGGATGCATTCATTCATTCATTCATTCATTCATTCATGCCTAACGGCCTAAGTCTCGAGAGCAGCTCAGACGCCGCCCCGCCCACACCGCTCGTGGTTGCCCCGAAGGAAGATCCACGGAGCGGCCGAAAGCAGGCTAAGGCTGGGCTCGAAGAAATCTGCGTACCAGCCGTTCCAGTTGTCACCCCAGAGCCTCGGCTAGTCAGAGGTTTAGGCACGGAATGTACTACGTTTAGGATGCTACATGTGGGGGACAGAGGGCTTTGAAAATCCTGGCATCCAGAGGGCTAGGTGGGTTTCCTGCAAACGTCGTAGCTCCCATTCTGCTTCACATGCTGGTGGTTCTGTCAGCAAGAGTTATCTGTCTTGAAATGCGTGTGCCTCGTGTATCGATTTCCACATAATCGAACGAAGGACGCGAGTCTGACAAAAAATGATCCACGCTGCTTCTGGGTTTGCAGCACACAATTACAACCGCACCTAGCCTGCGTGTTCACCTGCATTCAGCGGGGGAACACGGCCCTCGAAGTGCCGCTGAGATCGCTTGTGCTACAAAACGGTCTTATGCGAATGCGGTCTGGCAGCCCCGGAGAATTGGGAAAGCTCTGGTTGTTGATCGCAGAGCAATTCTGGTTTTGCGCGCAGGGACCCTGTCGGTAGAAGTAGTCGCCGACATGCGCCACCAAATCTGGCTCGTCCCGTGCCGCAAGCTCCGCTTGGACCTGGAAGGGCCAATCCTCCAAGCTTTGGAATCTTCCTGCCACAAGCCTTGAGTTGAACGGGACAGTTTCGTTCGGTGCGCGCTGTTCGATACCATAAAGCTTGTCGGAGCCGGGTTCGAGGCAAGTTCCGTCATTCTTCGCCGTCACCCGCAAACCAGTGTCCCCGAGAAGCACTGTACGTCTGGGAGACTTCGGCAGGACTTTGTCACCAAAGCGGATGCTGTTGGCCGGGAGCCCTTTAGGCAGAGTAACTTCGCAGACCCTCACGGGAAATCTGAAGGGCATCTTTTCGCCGCCCACGGCGCGCACGCGCACGGCACCGGCTTGCAAAAGCAGGTTAGGGGAGGCACCTGCAACTGTGGAAAGGCTGGGGCAAGGGGCCGCGATCTTCACGATCGCCCTTGCCCAAGGCTGTCCGCTTTCCGCGTAGAGGACATATACCAGTGGGAAATGCTCTTCACCCACGAGCCCCTGTGCCAGGCGGACAAGGAAGAGGCCCTTAAGGAGCCTCATGACCCGTTGTGCCATGCTCACCATCAAGGAACACAGCTTCAGCAAGGCTGGAAATGGCAGTCTCGATGTTCCAAGAGTCTTGCAATACTGCTACAGATTCCCACCTTTGAAGCCAAGCCCTTAACCTCGTAACCCGAAGAAGCCCGTCAGTGCCCTACCGTTGAGGTGCTTGGCGAGGTCAGGGAGGTAGAGTGCGAGCAACCTCCAAACACAGTACACAGTGCTCGAGATGCGAGGCTGACCATTTCAAGAGGAGGAACTCACTTGGGACAGGACTCCAAAAGATCTTCAAAACATCGCACACTACCTCGTTGTGTAAGACATACTAAATTCAGCCGGAATCCATGGCAACACTCTGAAGCTCGAAACTCCGAAATCTCGAAACCTCGCTTGACTCGTACATAGAACAGACATGACTGCGCTGTTCTCAAAAATGTTCTGGGGTTGCCTTTCGAAGAGCACCACGCCCTTGTTCATGAGAGGGAAGCCATCGGACCTGGGCTCTGGCTTCAACAGTTTGGGCCTGTTCGCCCGGTCGCCCATGCTATGCAGCCATCGATGAAATGCAGCTGGTCATGTCATGAACCTTCATGCTGGCCTTGGGGCCAACAGAAGGTTAGGCTGAAGTCCTGCAAGACTTGAAGGGGAGTGCTGCGAATGAGGCAGGCACGATGAAAACTTTAGAGGCATACAATGCTGGGCAATGACGAAACAGAATCCACATCCAACTTTCTTGTTCTTTTTTGTTCTACACACTGACAGGTGCAAACTGAAGGACGACCCTAGGCTGGTTTGCAAAGATCACCTCTTGCAGCCGAGGTGCCACAGGCCACCAAACCTTGTTCGGCTTCAGGCGAGGTACAAGTACTGCTGTTTCCAACTTTGGTAGCGCGCGAGATAGTGTTGACTTTCAGATCTTTAGTACAACTGATGGAGGGACTAGGACAATCTGCGAGGGCACGCATGCCGTGGCAACAAACACAAGTACACGCAGACAGATAGACAGACAGGCAGGCAGACGGACGGACGGACGCACGGACAGAGACCACAGGAAACAGGAAAAGTCTTTGGGATGTGCCCCTCTGTATCTGAGCAACTTTTGGTCGAGCTCTGCAAGAAACTCTGGGCAACCTGTCACCTAGCCAGGACCCAAGCAGCAGCAAAGCGTCCATGAACTTCCGGCGCCTCAGTCACCAGGACTAGGGCTTGCTTCCACATCCGCATGTGCTTCGTGTCTGGGCGTACAAAGTTATGTATGTACAGATATTGTATGCATGTATGTGTATGACCGTATGTATGTATGCATGTATGTGTATGACCGTATGTATGTATGTATGTATGTATGCGTGCGCTTGTATGCAATGTAATCTAATATAACGTACTGTATGTATGCATGCATGTATGTTTGCACCTATGCTCGTATGTACGTATGTAAATACTTATGTACACATGTATGTGTGTATGTATGACGTATGTACACCCACACTCACCATGGTCATGTATATGTACTATGTGTGTATATATATATATATATAGATTGACAGCCAACCGTGTACACATGCGTGGCTTTGTGCATATGTGTAGCTGTGTGCGCAACGTTCATCTGTAAGTGTCTGCCTCATTCTCATGCATTTAGTCTGCTTGTGCCTACTTTCATACCGATGCAACGCAGACAAGCTGACAGACCGACAGATAGATGGACCGGCACCCATAAGCCCGTCGACGCTCCTGCAAGTCTTCTCGACTGAGCATACCGGTGAAAGCACTCTGAGCACCGAACGCGGTATCTGCCCGCTCTGGATATTTCACGACCAGAGCAGCAGCGACATAGTTCCTCTGGCAGCTAGATCCATCCCAATCTGGGCCACTAATTCAGTCATGCCACGAGTGTCCCAATGCTTTCTGAATGCACATCGCAATTCACAGCAGGACGAGAGACCTTGACGACGACTTTCTCACTGACATGTTCCTGCCATGTTGACTCTCAAACGTAATTTTAGGTCGACCGCACTCAGATTCTGGACGACAGGCCGACCGCAAGGTCGTTGCTTGCCCGATTGTCCCCAGGCCGATATTCCTCCCTCAATGCGCAAAGGCTAAGCCTTCAATCTGAAACCCAATGCAATTGCCAGCATCAACCATGCTGACACTCCCAAAAGCCTGAGTACCCGGCATGCCCTGCGTGTAGCCGATGTCTGGGTCATGTGCCGCAAAGTCCTGCACCGAGCCGCAGACTAGCAAAGAAGTGCTTCGTCGTTTAGGACCTTGATACGAGAAACTCACTCACTCTCTGTCTTCTGCTCTGTCTCCCTTTCAGATTCGTAATGATGTTGCTTGCCTGGCTCCAAAGCTTTCGTCCTGGAGAACAAGACCGCAAGTCCAACACCGTGAACTCTGGCCCCAAGGATACTGAAATCGAACTTCAGCCAAGGACCTGGATGCATGTCGACCAAACCAAAGGGTTTGAGCGCACATGTCAACTTGACAATCCTCTTGGCTCACGGACCTCGCCTTTGCTAGCGGAACGACGAAGCCTCGCCTAAGCCCCCGAGTCTTGTGCATCACGGCCTTCAGGATGCTGAAGATTTGCGGCTTCAGAGGTGCCAACTGGGAACGAGTTCAAGGGTACGGGCGCTCAACTGAATGCAAAGTCGAGGCACCAAGTGTCGTTCAGCCGATAACCACCTGCCTTGCTTATGATATTGTGCCAACGAACATCCACAAAGCTTGAACTCTGGCCCCTGCACTTGACCGTGCCTCTGGCACCTAACGTACCTAAAGCACCCAGGGTTTGCTCTATCGACTTCGTCATGGGGTTCGGGCTTGCTTGAAGGCTTGGGTGGCAGCGAGCCTGGGCATGATGGGAGATGTACCCTAGTACACTGCATGATTCAGAATCATACGTGGGCATGACAGCACAACGACAGCTTTTTGTAAGGAGCTTCGACTCTTCCCAGCTACTAGTACTCCTGTGAATACACCCTCGCAGATTTGTGGATCCATGACCAGGCCCCCGTCCATGGGTATGTCGGCAAACGTCCGGTCCAAGTCGTTTTGAATGGCCTGCAGCATTCTCGAAACCCCAAACCTCAGCCATCCCTCGAAACCTCAAACCTCGGCCAGCTAGGTTTGAAAGCCTGACAGCACGCGTTCGGCTACCATCCAGGACAGAGAAGCTGAAGCCATCAGAACGACCGAGACCCTGAAATTGAGGCTCAAAGCCCGTCCCTGCATCAGCGGGGACAGATGCGGCTTGGAGCCTGGAGGTCCAAAGCAACACCTTTCCGGAAACCAAGGCTTTACACGCAAGCTTTGAGCAGAGACAGCCTCATCGCTGTTGCGTTCAGCCGCGGCCATGGCCAAAACGCGCGTGGAGTCTCTGCTGACTTAGGCTTCTGCGGCTTCGGGGCTAGATGCCGAAGCACATAGCATGCCTCTGGCTGGCTGAGGTTTAGCTGATTAGCGTATTCGGTATCAAGGTGTGCCGACTGCTGGGTGCAATGATATTGCTCGGATAATTACCCGGGCTTCTACATCACTGGAATCGTATTTTGACAAGTCGGCGGCCCGAGTTGGCTGGCCCAGGCTTAGTTCCCAGCACTATTGTAATATAATACTCTGTAGTTGAATGTGCTGAGCATCCATTATGTCGCTACGTCTGCGTTATATGTAGCTGTTTTGTAGCATTGTAACAGGCTTACAGTGGCGCCTCGAACAGGCTCAAAGCAACCCATCCCGTCTGCATGGCAGCGCAACTCGCAAGGCGTTAAGTTTTCCACCAAACGCACCCCCCACATGAACACCGCTGCCCTAGCCCCTTGTGCGTTTATTTATTTATGCCCGGCGTAAATGCAACCCTCGTCGCAACGGTTCCAACTGCACAAGCATCAGGCCCAAACCTCTCTCCTTTCAAGCGATGCGAAGTAGAAACCCTCGTCTCCAGGAGTCTTTGTCGCTCCGCTGCAGTCATCCCGCTTTGGCAAAAGGCAAGAAATGCAATGCTGCTCAGGGCACCAACCATGCTAGATCGCATGATCATGACAAGTTGAGAAGATGAGTCCAGAGGCAAGCACCATATCCTAACAAGGACTAGGCAGACGTGTATAATCTAGCCGCTGTTCTTGGTGATAGTGATGGCAGTGGTACAAACACCTGATGGCAGTAGTCGCCATCGGAAGCAGCAGTCGTCGCCGTCGTCGGAATTAGTAGTAGTAGTAGTAGTAGTAGTAGTAGTAGTAGTAGTAGTAGTAGTAGTAGTAGTAGTAGTAGTACTAGTAGTAGTAGTAGTAGTAGTAGTAGTAGTAGTAGTAGTAGTAGTAGTAGTAGTAGTAGTAGTAGTAGTAGTAGTAGTAGTAGTAGTAGTAGTAGTAGTAGTAGTAGTAGTAGTAGTAGTAATATTAGTAGTAGTAGTAGTAGTAGTAGTAGCAGCAGGAGTAGTAGTAGTAGTAGTAGTAGTAGTAGTAGTAGTGGTAGTAATAGTAGTAGTAGTAGTAGTAGTAGTAGTAGTAGAAGTAGCAGCAGTAGTAGTAGTAGTAGTAGAAGTAGTCGTGGTGGTGGTGGTGGCGGTGGTGGTGGTGGTGGCACAGTAGTGGCACAGTAGTGGCACAGAAGTGGCACAGTAGTGGCACAGTGGCAGTGGCATGGCGGCAGTGGAGGTTGGGCAGGGGCAAAACAGAGTTGTGGTGGTAGTAGTAGTTTTAGTAGTCGTAGTAGTCGTAGTAGTAGAGCGGGAGTAGTAGTAGTAGTAGCAGCAGTAGTAGTAGTAGTAGCAGTAGTAGTAGCAGTAGTAGCAGTAGTAGCAGTAGGAGGAGGAGGAGGAGCAGGAGGAGGAGGGGGAGTGGGAGTGGGAGTGCCAGTGGCAGTGGCGGGAGCAGGGGCAGCAGCAAGAGCAAGAGCAGGAGCAGAAGGACGAGCACGAGCAGCACAAAAAGCATTGCAGGAGTAGGGGTAGGGGCAGGGGCAAGGGCAGCAGCAGTCAGTAGGAGTAGTAGCAGCCGTAATTGTAGCTGCAGTCGTCATCAGGTCTTGGGCGATTTCTGGGTTTCGGACTTGGGGTCTGAGGTTTGTTGTTTCCCGGGTGTTCAGGCTGTGGCCTGCCCTGCTCCAGCTGCTGCATCCCTGACTCTTTGCAGAATGCAACAAAGCGGCGCCGTCAGAAGCGCCACTGACCTGACATCTTGGGCAGAGGCTCCCCGCAATCCGCAACCCTACCCACAAAAGTCGGCCTCGCAAGCTGTCCGTGTCGTGGTGTGGCCAGTTTCGCACTTGTCAAGGGCATCGTCCTGCTGTGCCACTGCGATTAGGCTGGCATCCACGGGAACCAAAGGCCACTATTCACAACACTTGAAGACTCCAAAGCCCGAGCTCCCCTGACTCTTATCACCTTGTAAGCCACATTAACGAATATTCGGGCATCACGCGGTCCTTATGTTAAGGCAGCCTTGCTAGAGTACTAGAGTCAGGATTGGTCAAATTGGAGCGGGAGGTACATACCAATCTCAGGTTGGAGTTCGAGTTTTCTGTCGCATCCTGCAGGTATTGGGTTTAGTTGGCGTCGAACTCTGCTTTCTTCCTCGATTCCTACCCTACAGATGGAGCCCTTTTGTCCAAGAAAATCGCAGCTGCAGCTGGGGACGGTGGTGCACTCGTGTATTTGTGCTGGTAATACGTGTGCCTTTTGTGGCTTGCTGCAGCTTCGGAGGTTCTGTCGAAAAGTGGGGGTGCTGAAGAACCAGGCCTGAAATTGCTCTAGCCCTGGAGCTTCCTTCATCGTACGGAACACATCCAGGCACGATGCGAAGCTGCTGATGTTGGATATTTGTGTGGCCATCGATGCATACTCGCTCGGATGTGTAGTTTTCCTGCAGTTCCTCTTGTCGAACTTCTAACCACCACGGTGTCAAGGGGTCGACATATACCCTGTCCGAAGCGGAAGTGGCTGAAATGAGTTGAAATCATCCCTGCAAGCGGCCAACGACGGTTCTTTCTTGCGAGGCTGGGGCCTTTGAGGTAGAGACTCTCGAAGGCTTAGGCCGGGCTTAGGCAGGACTTAGGGGCGAAGGTGAGGATGAGACTTGCAGAGGACTCAGGAGCCACACATTCTCAGCTTCTCAATTGCATGCCTATGGCCAATGGCCCTATGGCCCCATGGCCCTTGCAGCACTCCTTCTGAAGAGGAATGACCGATGCAGTGTCGAATCAGGACCCAACTGTGCTTTTTCCCGCGGACATCTTTGAACCAAGCCATTGCCCTCTCTCGGGCAGCGGGATGAGTGTGTCCTTGTATCCGAAACCAAAGAGCATCCACACGGGCAGAGTCCCAGCCACGCCGGGCCAAGCCTGCCCAAATGTGGGTCACCTCCTCCACGCGCGGAAGCAGCAGCCAACTGCAGAGCTCATGGTAGACTCGCCATACGTGCAGATGTGGCATCCGTGATGCTCCTTCTTTGACCGCTTGAATCCCTGTCCAGGCTTCCGATCTCTGCAAGGGCTCATCGTCCTGGATTTCGATTTCGCAGAGTTGCATTGAAGCTGACGACCCGCAGGCCGTCTCACACTGCTGCAAAAGGTTCTTCGCGTAATCGAGGGTGAGCTCTGCACCTTGCCTGCCTAAGTCTGCAATTTCGGCTGCGAGTTCTGATGGGCACCCGCTCCATCCCAAAGACTCAAGCACGGTGGCTTGTAGCTCTCTCATCTCTTTGCTGCTTCTACGCAGGCGGCCGTCTGACAGGACAGTGTACACAACCGTGGAGAGCGAACCGAACCTGCTCACCTCCTCGGCAGCTCGCAACAGCCGCACATGGCATCTCAGGTGTTGTGCCAAGGCCATGTACAGGTGCTGCATGTACACTTCGCACTCGCTGAGACGCTGGGAAAGAGGCTTCCAGACGGCATCCGTCGATGGGAAAATCGCCTCAGCTCGGCAATTAACTCAGCTATGCATCTTAAGCGGATGCAGAGACAATTTCGACAAAGGCCGCCAATTCAAAAAAGGAACTATTGCCGTTCACATGCAAGAAATTGAAAGACCTCTCCATGCACTCCCTGAGCCTTGACCGGATGATACTGCTGTATCCCATACCCAAAACATCCCGAAACCCCCAGGTTCTAAATTCTGGTGCTGCATGCTGTGCCCATACCGAAGCAGATACTGCAAGCTCAGAAAAAAACGACGATCTCCACGTAAACTTCCACCACACCCTCTGTGAATCATGACTGACCTCATCCCCCGTCGGCTTTGTCGCAAGACGAGAGAGCCAGAGAGAAGAGGAGAGGGAGAGGGGGACAGGGGGAGAGGGGGAGAGTTGGAGAGTTGGAGAGTTGGAGAGGGAGAGGGAGAGAGAGGGGGAGGGGGTGCAACTCTTGATGATCAAAGCCTTTATGGTAACCCTTCAGTACAGCATAGGGCATGGAACTCCTATGGAACCACCGCCCGTAAAGTAACCGTAAACTTCTGTGCTCGCCGCATCGCTTTCATGCCTGTGGCCGCCTGGAAGAGCCGCCGCCAGGCACGCGCGGACCGCAGGACTGCCGCTGCAGACGCTGAGACGTCCTCCACGGCTCGGAGGAGATCCACTTCTAATTCCATCGGTCATAGTACTTCAGTCACTCGAGTCTTGACTTGAGAATTGGACAACACGACTTGAGTCGTGGGAAAGCCGGGTGGGCATTGAACAGTCAGATCGCTTAGGGCCCAGTTTCTTCGACGCCGGCCTTGTGTGCGGCAGGCGGGTGTCGCGTGTGTGTGTGTGTGTGTGTGTGTCTGTGTGTCTGTGTGTCTGTGTGTCTGTGTGTCGGTGTGTCTGTGTGTCTGTGTGTCCGTGTGTGTGTCTGTGTGTGTGTGTGTGTCTGTGTGTCTGTGTGTCTGTGTGTCTGTGTGTCTGTGTGTCCGTGTGTCTGTGTGTCTGTGTGTCCGTGTGTCTGTGTGTCTGTGTGTGTGTGTGTGTCTGTGTGTCTGTGTGTGTGTGTCTGTGTGTGTGTGTCTGTGTGTGTGTGTGTGTGTGTCTGTGTGTGTGTCTGTGTGTCTGTGTGTGTGTGTGTGTGTGTCTGTGTGTGTCTGTGTGTGTGTCTGTGTGTGTGTCTGTGTGTGTCTGTGTGTGTCTGTGTGTGTGTGTCTGTGTGTGTGTCTGTGTGTGTGTCTGTGTGTGTGTGTGTGTCTGTGTGTGTGTCTGTGTGTGTCTGTGTGTGTGTGTGTGTGTGTGTGTGTGTGTGTGTGTGTGTGTGTGTGTGTGTGTGTGTGTGTGTGTGTGTGTGTGTGTGTGTGTCTGTGTGTGTCTGGTGTGTGTGTCTGTGTGTGTCTATCTGTGTGTGTCTGCGTGTGTCTGTGTGTGTCTGTGTGTGTCTGTGTGTGTCTCTGTGTGTGTGTGTCTGTGTGTGTCTGTGTGTGTCTCTGTGTGTGTCTCTGTGTGTGTGTCTGTGTGTGTCTCTGTGTGTGTCTCTGTGTGTGTCTCTGTGTGTGTGTGTGTGTCTCTGTGTGTGTGTGTCTCTGTGTGTGTGTCTCTGTGTTTCTCTGTGTGTCTCTGTGTGTCTCTGTGTGTCTCTGTGTGTCTCTGTGTGTCTCTGTGTGTCTCTGTGTGTCTCTGTGTGTCTCTGTGTGTCTCTGTGTGTCTCTGTGTGTCTCTGTGTGTCTGTGTGTGTCTGTGTGTGTTTTTGTGTGTCTGTGTGTCTCTGTGTGTGTCTGTGTGTGTCTGTGTGTGTGTGTGTGTGTCTGTGTGTGTGTCTGTGTGTGTGTGTCTGTGTGTGCGTCTGTGTGTGTATCTGTGTGTCTGTGTCTGTGTGTGTGTGTGTGTCTGTGTGTGTCTGTGTGTGTGTGTGTTAGTTGTGTGTGTGTGTGTGTGTGTTAGTTGTGTGTGTGTGTGTTAGTTGTGTGTGTGTGTGTGTTAGTTGTGTGTGTGTTAGTTGTGTGTGTGTGTGTGTTAGTTGTGTGTGTGTGTGTGTTAGTTGTGTGTGTGTGTGTGTTAGTTGTGTGTGTGTGTGTTAGTTGTGTGTGTGTGTGTGTGTTAGTTGTGTGTGTGTGTGTTAGTTGTGTGTGTGTGTGTGTTAGTTGTGTGTGTGTGTGTGTGCGTGTGTGTGTGTGTGTGTCGGTGTTCTTCTGTGCAGAGCTTCGTGTGCGGTTTGTGAAGGAAGCAGCCAGATAAGCGTATATGTACATATGTAAATACATATACATATATAGATATATACGTATATGCACATAGACTTATAAGCATGTAAACACATACATATGTATAAATGTATACATATGTGTATTCATTTATTCGTTTATGAAAGCTTATGCTTATATTAGCGCTTGTGTTGTCTAGGTTTGGATGGATGGATGGTTAGATGGCTGGCTGGGTGGGTGGGTGGATGGATGGATGTGTGTGTGTGTGTATGTATATACTTACGTAGTATGTACATACACATACTTAGAAAACGTCAATTTCCAGATATAGTTGTCTAACTCTACTATCTATATATATATATATATGTATATATGCCACCCCCCCCTCCGGTACCTACCTTTTTCCGGTTTGTGTGCTTTTGGGCATAAGTTTTCGGAATCTAGGTTGCAAAGAATACTGCACCATGTGGGTGCCAGTAAGCCGTTGCCACCTACATTCAAGTGCGTCTGCTGCATCATGCTTTTTCCAGCATTTTTCACCCATGTGCCAGAAAGTGCTGTATTTGCTGCAGACAGAGCAACAGCAGACGTAGATGAGATAGTGGTGCACGTTGCCTACATGTGTATTTGCAGCAGAGGCACTGGCATGTTCGCGCAGGCGCGAGCTCTGGGGGTAAAGCAGCCACCAACAGACCAGGAGACCAAAGTTATCACACAGCTCTGACAAACGTTTTTCATAAGAGAAACACTGGGGTTATATTATAGGTCGTACTGAGGCTACGATGGAGAGTCTGAAGGCTATATCAGGCCTAATATGAGGGTCAGCATTGGCATAAGGGTTACTGGGTGTTAGGGTTGATGTTGAAGTCCGACATGAGCATCTACAGTAAAAAGGGACCTGTCATTGCAGATTGGGTTACGCAAGCATGTATAAATATCATCCTTAAAGCCATGAATAGAGCAATGCCACACCTTGAGAGAGTTGAGGATCATGCTTATGAACAAAATGGTTGGGTATCTCATAATAATATTAGTATGAATCTGATGGTTACCGCGGAGGTTGGTACCTGGGCCGTATCTAGCTTACCTGTACCAATAAATGCAGTAACTACCTGAGATTGGGGTCGCCATGACTTTTAAAGTTCGGGGTTCATGACTTCAGGGGATTCTCCTACGGCCAGTAATTATTAGGTGCGCTGCTGAGAGCAGTATTCAATACATTACGAATTACGAAGAATTGCAGTAGGGATAGCTGTTAAGTGATATTAAGTTTGCGAGTAAGTCCATCTTACACTCACACCAACGGCGTTAGTCTATGATCTTAGTTAAGCTAACTTCCGAATTCTGGCAGGCATGGGAGTTGACATGCGAACGACTGGTGGGGGTATTTGTCGGCATAGCATGTTTCCATGATATCCATGGCGTTGAGCTACAAGGTGCCTCTATCGGGTAAAGAGGAGTCAGAATAGCCGGGTTATCCAAGCTACTACTAAGGCAAGGTTTATACGAGGCTAGGCTGAGGTTCGCCAAAACGATGAACATGAGCGGCAAGTTCAAAACTAACGGTAGGTTAGCATCCTCTCGAGCATAAAGTTGTGATATCAGGGTCACCATCATTGCTATTCCTACCTTTCTGTGTGTGTTGTTTAGCAATACTATAGGCCCACACTTGGAGTGCTTTACGCTGGTACCGAGGTGGGGAGGTGCCGTTCCCCAGTAGTACACTCTTTTGCCCCTTGTCCTTTTGGGAAATACATTATTCATGATCGAAATGAGTGTCACAGGAAGCTGTGTGATCCAAGAGAGACTGCGGGAGGAATGTTTGGGCGAATGCACTTGGAGCAGAGTCGGCCCGATTCAAGTTGAATCGGCCCGATTCAATTGAATCGGGCCCTGGATTCAAGATTGAAGATTGAAGATGCCTGGAAGAAGTTTCTCTGGGATCTTCAATCTTCAATCTTGAATCCGAGGCCCGATTCAGTGGAATCGGGCCGATTCAACTTGAATCGGCCCCGGCAGCACCACGAGTCACAATGGCTGGCGGCCCAGGAGGCTAATTACTTTAATACGGTGAAGTTATTACTCAAAGCACTGTCAGTACGGATAGGGCGTGCGGGCATAAATAGGGCTTGTCGGGCACCTGCCCACCGTGGTACCAATCCAAACCAGTACACGTGTAAGCGTGCAGCATTGATAACAACACCGAAAAGGTAGGTACCGGAGGGGGGGGTACCATATATATATATATATACACATATTTTTTATTTATGTATTTATACATGTGTGTGCGTGTGTGTCTGTGTGTCTGTGTGTCTGTGTGTCTGTGTGTCTGTGTGTCTGTGTGTCTGTGTGTCTGTGTGTCTGTGTGTGTGTCTGTGTGTGTCTGTGTGTGTGTGTGTGTCTGTGTGTGTGTGTGTGTCTGTGTGTGTCTGTGTGTGTCTGTGTGTGTGTGTGTGCGTGTGTGTGTGTGCGTGTGTGTGTGTGTGTGTGTCGGTGTTCTTCTGTGCAGAGCTTCGTGTGCGGTTTGTGAAGGAAGCAGCCAGATAAGCGTATATATGTACATATGTAAATACATATACATATATAGATATATACGTATATGCACATAGACTTATAAGCATGTAAATACATACATATGTATAAATGTATACATATGTGTATTCATTTATTCGTTTATGAAAGCTTATGCTTATATTAACGCTTGTGTTGTCTAGGTTTGGATGGATGGATGGTTAGATGGCTGGCTGGGTGGGTGGGTGGGTGGATGGATGGATGTGTGTGTGTGTGTATGTATATACTTACGTAGTATGTACATACACATACTTAGAAAACGTCAATTTCCAGATATAGTTGTCTAACTCTACTATCTATATATATATATATATGTATATATGCCACCCCCCCCTCCGGTACCTACCTTTTTCCGGTTTGTGTGCTTTTGGGCATAAGTTTTCGGAATCTAGGTTGCAAAGAATACTGCACCATGTGGGTGCCAGTAAGCCGTTGCCACCTACATTCAAGTGCGTCTGCTGCATCATGCTTTTTCCAGCATTTTTCACCCATGTGCCAGAAAGTGCTGTATTTGCTGCAGACAGAGCAACAGCAGACGTAGATGAGATAGTGGTGCACGCTGCCTACATGTGTATTTGCAGCAGAGGCAGTGGCATGTTCGCGCAGGCGCGAGCTCTGGGGGTAAAGCAGCCACCAACAGACCAGGAGACCAAAGTTATCACACAGCTCTGACAAACGTTTTTCATAAGAGAAACACTGGGGTTATATTATAGGTCGTACTGAGGCTACGTTGGAGAGTCTGAAGGCTATATCAGGCCTAATATGAGGGTCAGCATTGGCATAAGGGTTACTGGGTGTTAGGGTTGATGTTGAAGTCCGACATGAGCATCTACAGTAAAAAGGGACCTGTCATTGCAGATTGGGTTACGCAAGCATGTATAAATATCATCCTTAAAGCCATGAATAGAGCAATGCCACACCTTGAGAGAGTTGAGGATCATGCTTATGAACAAAATGGTTGGGTATCTCATAATGATATTAGTATGAATCTGATGGTTACCGCGGAGGTTGGTACTTGGGCCGTATCTAGCTTACCTGTACCAATAAATGCAGTAACTACCTAAGATTGGGGTCGCCATGACTTTTAAAGTTCGGGGTTCATGACTTCAGGGGATTCTCTTACGGCCAGTAATTATTAGGTGCGCTGCTGAGAGCAGTATTCAATACATTACGAATTACGAAGAATTGCAGTAGGGATAGCTGTTAAGTGATATTAAGTTTGCGAATAAGTCCATCTTACACTCACACCAACCGCGTTAGTCTATGATCTTAGTTAAGCTAACTTCCGAATTCTGGTAGGCATGGGAGTTGACATGCGAACGACTGGTGGGGGTATTTGTCGGCATAGCATGTTTCCATGATATCCATGGCGTTGAGCTACAAGGTGCCTCTATCGGGTAAAGAGGAGTCAGAATAGCCGGGTTATCCAAGCTACTACTAAGGCAAGGTTTATACGAGGCTAGGCTGAGGTTCGCCAAAACGATGAACATGAGCGGCAAGTTTAAAACTAACGGTAGGTTAGCATCCTCTCGAGCATAAAGTTGTGATATCAGGGTCACCATCATTGCTATTCCTACCTTTCTGTGTGTGTTGTTTAGCAATACTATAGGCCCACACTTGGAGTGCTTTACGCTGGTACCGAGGTGGGGAGGTGCCGTTCCCCAGTAGTACACTCTTTTGCCCCTTGTCCTTTTTTGGGAAATACATTATTCATGATCGAAATGAGTGTCACAGGAAGCTGTGTGATCCAAGAGAGACTGCGGGAGGAATGTTTGGGCGAATGCACTTGGAGCAGAGTCGGCCCGATTCAAGTTGAATCGGCCCGATTCAACTGAATCGGGCCCTGGATTCAAGATTGAAGATTGAAGATGCCTGGAAGAAGTTTCTCTGGGATCTTCAATCTTCAATCTTGAATCCGAGGCCCGATTCAGTGGAATCGGGCCGATTCAACTTGAATCGGCCCCGGCAGCACCACGAGTCACAATGGCTGGCGGCCCAGGAGGCTAATTACTTTAATACGGTGAAGTTATTACTCAAAGCACTGTCAGTACGGATAGGGCGTGCGGGCATAAATAGGGCTTGTCGGGCACCTGCCCACCTTGGTACCAATCCAAACCAGTACACGTGTAAGCGTGCAGCATTGATAACAACACCGAAAAGGTAGGTACCGGAGGGGGGGGTACCATATATATATATATATACACATATTTTTTATTTATGTATTTATACATGTGTGTGCGTGTGTGTCTGTGTGTCTGTGTGTCTGTGTGTCTGTGTGTGTCTGTGTGTGTCTGTGTGTGTGTGTCTGTCCGTCTGTCTTTCTGCGTTTCTGTCATGGTTGTTGATTTGTTCATTTACTTGTCTAGTCAAGTCTTATCCACCAAAAGCATCGTTTGAATACACATGACACAAAAGGGGCGAGACAGACTGAGAATGAGACAGAGTGCCTAGTCCCAGCATACAGGGCTCATGTATTCTATAGATGCCAGTAGCTTTATTCATCAAGCGAACAAGTGAACCTAAACCTGAAACGGAAAAACTCCACAGAGCAAGCCAGAGTCAGCATCAACCATCGACAGGCTACATCGTCGTAGCACCTGGTAGGTAGCTTCCTCACGCCTGCATGTCTTGTTTTCCACGGCCTTTTGTGGTAACTTGGCACGTCCTCGGGAAGCTGGCCGGCAGCGTGCGCCCAGGCGACCCAAAGGCGGGTCCACTCGTCCTTCATGCTTTGCCTGCAGCGAAGGAGGCTTAGAACTCTGTCGTGCTCTCTATGTCTATATTCATCCCTAAGGGTCAAGCTGTTTGGAGAAGGCTCTCGGCATGTAACTTCAAGGCGGTGACGCGCATCAGCGAGAGCGGTGTCCTACACAGTTTGCTGTTGACTGAACGGAAGACCGCCCGTCGTGGAAGCAGTCAGCAGCATCAGGCTTTCGGGACATGTGCCTTCGACCTGGAGGAAGCCTCGTGCTTCAAAATTCGTGTCCAAGAAATCAAGGAAAGAAAACCTCACTCTGAACGATCACAAGATGCTGAAGCCTGAAGGGAGCAAGGCCATGTTATGCCAGCCGCAAAATGTCTTCATTTGCCGTGGGTAAGGTTTGGCTTAGCCGAGGCACAATGAGACACTTGGCTTCGGCAGGCGGTTTCGCAGATCCCGGAACCAGGCGACAAGAAGGCTGTCTGTAGAAAGTTGAAGGAACCGCTTCAGCTCCTGACGAGGATGCTTTCTGATACGTAGAGAAGGTTCCTTGTCACATACCGTTCTAGCTTCCAACAGGGCAAGCTTCTGTCCTCTTCAGAGCCTTCTGTTGGCACCTCGGCGCCGGTCCCGCTGTGTGCACAGGCACAGGCATGGGTCACCAAAAGCCCTAGAAACTTCACCCAGCCCCAGATCAGCAGTGGCTGGTTGAAGTCACCACCCGGAAATTGACGGAACTCGATAGTGGCCCTTTCGCTGGGCTGGGAAATCCGCATGATGTTCAGCTTGCAGTAGCGTGTACCGTGGCGCTCCATGATCAACAAGTCCCTGAACAGCCAGTGCTCTAAGCTCTCGGTAGGTACATCGTCTGGCTTACGGAAGCACGCAAGGACCTCAGTGTCGTCGCTTAAGCTCTCCAAGGCCGTCCATGGCGTGGGGGGCTCGGCGAGGCCGTCGCCGTTGTTGCTCGGGGTCGGAGCGTCGCCCTCTTTGCCCCACAAAGCTTGGAGGTCCTGGCAAGTCGGGGGCCTCCACAGCAGCTGGCCACTTGCCAAGGACAGCTCCACCAGGGCCAAACCGGCGGGGAGCATCAGACTCTGACCCTGCTCACTCTGCGGCTGCGCCTGCAAAGCCTGCAAAGGTCGCTTTAAACGAAAGAGGCCGCCCTCTTCCAAAAGCGCTAGCAGCAGTTCATCCTTCTTGAGCCGCACTCGGGAACCCTCGAGGCAGGCAGCCCGAGCCTCTGGGCTCAGAGTGCGAACGAAGGCCACTGCAGCGTCGATCTTTGCAAAAAGCACTTCGTCCGAGGCCCCAGGCCCCAACCCCTGCGCGCGCCCCAGAACCTCTCGCAGATCCCTGCAGAAGCGATTGCGCTGACGTGTCACCGGCAGCAGGAGCTCGTTGATGGTGGCCTCAAACCGCAAATAAACCTTCATGATAGCGGCCACCTCCTCCACGGAGAAGAAGCTCGGGTAGCAGCCAAGGTGCACATGGACGCCTGTAGACTCGTTGGTTGCTGCACATAACGGCGGTCGGCGCAGGGCATGTGCCATGTCACAGAAAAGGGTGACGTCGAACTCCTGGAAGCCCATCCTCTTCGACACCAGCTCCACCGGAAAGGGGTTTTGTCCCTGGGGCTGAATGGAGCCGTCCGCCGTGGTCGTCCAGAGCCGGCCCCAGTCGCAGGTCTCCGCGGACACCAGCCCCGGGTCTCCTGAGCGGCACTTCTCGGCACCGAGCTCGGCCACGCGCTCCGAGAGGACTCGGGCCACCAGGCGGAAGAGCCTTGGCTGCAAGCTGCTGATGACTGCTGATGCTGCTGCAAGGCACCTCACGCCTCACACACAAAACGAGCCAATTTTGCTGGCCTCCAACTAAAACGTGGCGGAATCTCAGAACGCCAGAGGGCTCCTGGGGCTCTCGGAGAGGCACCAGACAATCGGGCACTAGGGCGCCCAGGTCGGGAAGGAAGCACTCCAGCTCGAGGCCAATCGAGAGCCTGCACTTCCGACGACAGCAAGAAGCCTCGTGTTCGCAAGAGCAGGGTGCTCACTCTGTCTCTGTCTCCGTCTCTCTCTTTGCTTTGCCAGGGGTGCAGGAGGGGAGGGGTTGGTCATACCGAGTCATACCCCTCTCACCTGCCTGTCTTGGCTGTACTCAGCAGTGATCTAGCATGTCCCCCGAAGCAACATGACCACATACTCTATGTCCACGCTCTGCGTCTCATTGTCATTGCCTGTCTAACGCTGGACTTCGCTATTATGGTGAAGTCTGGCATTCGATAGCAGAAAGCAAGAGACAGAGACAGAGAGTGTGTGTGTGTGTGGAGACGGAGAGAAGGAAAAGCAAAAAGAAACTGGTGGCATGCCACAAAGAATCCTAGCCTCGGCTTCTCTTGCAGCTGTGAGAACAACCACGAGAACACACGGCTGCAAAGCACAGCTAACCCATGCGAAAGGGGAACATTACAATCTTCGAGAACTATTGCAGAGGTTTCCTTGATTCGCGAGGAGGAGCTGATACAACTTGCCCATGACAGCGGAAGGACGAGTCATAGAAAGGAACCCCGAGACCACGGACGGTCGGCCTCTTCTGACCCTGCTCGTGCCAACGCAGCACCGCAGCCAAAGATTCGCTGCGAAGAAGCTTGGCAAGCGCAGTCTCTTGCATGGCTGTGATGGAATGAGTCAAGCTGTTGAGTTGGCTTGGCATAGGCATGGGCAAGCTGGTGTCTTGGAGGGCTGCATGCATAGGCTTGCACGGGTGGCACTGGGACTCCGGATCAATCGCCATGTGGCAATGAATCACAATACGCCCAATCCACGAGACCGTGTGACAAAACCGGGCTGTCCTGCTTAATCTTGGCCTCGTGAGTGCCCACGAGATCAGCAAGGGGCTGGAGTCCGTGGGATACATACCTCACAGACATTGTCACTCTATCTATCTGTCTGTTAACTATTTGCATGCATGCATGCATGCATGCACACATCCGGACAGGCAGACAGACAAACAAACCGACAGAAGCACGACAAAAAGAAAGGAACGAACAGTGCCGTCACATTCTCGCGTTCATAGACGAAAATCGAGGCCTTCTGGCAGACTGCCAGCAATCAAAGCTTCGAGTTAAGGGTTTGGGACAGGGAAAGCAGTGCCAACGGGGCCATCGACTCGATAGATCCCCCTCAGTAACGATTCGAAGCCACCACAAGCGAAGACCGTGACGATGTCTGCCTACAGTAAGCCCGGAGAACCTAATCGGATCCTGTAACTCCATCCTGTCCACGGGAAACCGAGAAGACCCTAGATGTCTGCGTCTCTTCGAAAAGGAGGCAAGGCCCCGGAAAACCGCACCAAGATTGAAAGATCCTTTGTTGAGGGGACTTCAACGGACGAACGCCTGCTTTTGCATGCTTGAACCGAGGGCAGGGCCCGGAAGGTGAGGTTGATCCTGATGCCGGGCATGCCACCGTGCGGCCTGCGTCTGATTTCCGGAAGTGTTTGAAGCTCGGCTCGCTGAAGCTGCTTTTGAAACGGAGTATGACAGCCGCAGCGGGCTACTGGTCTCAGACATTAACGATAGCAGTAACGGAAAGACCATACCTGCAGCAACGTCATGCTGTCGATGCTGCAGTCGTAGGAAGGAGGATCCGAGGGAACGGCACGCCGTGAAGGTATCGTTGCTGCATCGCGCCACCTTGCTTGGATTCGCCCACACATCTATTCCGGCCTCAACCCAACCCAGCCAGCTGGGTCCGGCAGCAAGTGGAACTCATCTGGCTGGGGGGCGCTGGCTGCCGGGTGGTAGGCTCTAAGGCTCAAGCCCATGACGAACCAAGAGCCATCTGCAAGTGAGATCACCTTGGAGTTCGCGGCACCCAGAACTTGGGACAGGCCCTGAGCAAACTGTGAGCTATGACCGACAAACCGCATCACACCTTAACGACAAAATCCCCCAACCTCAGAACAGGCGACGCCGCATCACGGCAGAATTGCCAATCGACTCAGGAAAGCTCCCACTTCAGCTTTTCGTCGCCCTTGTCCTTGGAAAGGCAACACAACGAGGCAAGGAAAGGACGCTCAGCAGTTCACGGCGCAAATATGAAAAACAATGGGCATTTGGACGGCCTGAATGACGAAATCTCTCGTTGCACCGAAGCTGACCTTGGCTAGGGCAAGCCATTAAATGTCTTCCTGCGGCCTGCGGCGAAGTTCGGGTGTAATGAAATCAAGGCTCACAACGCCTACCAGTTGTCCTGCTGCAGTGCAGGCCAAGCGACCGAAACAATGGGAGAGTCTCTGTCCAAGTCCGGCTCATTGTCAGCATGCATACCGAGCCTTCGAACAGCGTGCGCTTTTGGTGACTGGCTCACACACAGCCAGAACCTTGGGGTCTGGGCTACACTGAAAAACAAAAACGGAAATAAAGAGTCAGGGGCGGGCGCGCTTGCTGAATCGTCACAAGTCTCTCACCATCCCTGCTCTCAAAGTGCGTGACGTATGGCGGGGAAAGTCGTAGCGGTTCATCTGCGCCGAGTTGAAGACCACCTACCCAAAACACTTCGGAAGCGACTTTGGGGACCCCTCCGCAACTCGAGACCTCTTCGCACATGGCGATGTGCCGATGCCTGAGGCAGACCGCACTCTGCCAGGCCCTCCTCTGCCTCGGAGGTTGTCAGCTTCGGCTTCGTACTCGTGAGACCAGCGGACTCTTTACAGTGGAGTGGTCGGTTCGAGTGGCTTGAAGGCTTCGGCGTCAGCCCCTTATAGAACGGGAAGGGCCTTGATTGCTGAGTGTTGAATTTGCCTGCAAAAGAGGTTCCTGCGTACTAGCGCACAGCGCTGTCATGGCATCCCGTGCATATCGTCTACTCCGAGCACTGCGATGAAGAAACCAAGGGGCACCGAAGTAAACCCATGAGCCGGAACTGCCTGAACCCTCGGCTGCAGTGGTTAAAGCTGCATCTCGCCTTCTTCTTGATCTCCAGGACGGCAGGATGCCATTGCTGTCCGACGTTCTCACGGCCCGAGTACTCGTAACAAATACCTCCCACAGCGTGTGCTTTACCATCCGTGTTCCCCACTGCTTACTGTACCCGCCTTTAGTTTTCTACCCAGTGTCGTGCAACCTTGTTAAGTTTAAGGTATTTAGAATGGAGGCGTATTTATTTTGGGAATTTGTTTTTTTTTTTTGCAATTTTTTTTTTTGGCTTGTGTGCGCGCTTGGCTTGGCTTCTCGGCTTCCCTGGCTTCTTGGCTTCTGGCTTCTTGGCTTTTCGGCTTCTTGGCTTTTTTCTTCGGCATAGAGAGCCTCATAAATTGTGGTCCCCTGGTCCTCTGCTCGCGGTCCCCTAGTCCTCTGGTCCTTGGTCCTGTGGTCCCCTGGTCCTCTGGTCTGCTTGTCCTCTGGTCTCCTGGTCCCCTGGTGCATGCGGTCCCCTAGTCCTCTGCCACAGCCACAACCACAACCACGGGATAGGGGTTAAAAACAAATTAAATAAGGATCAAAAAAATAAAATAAGGATCAACAAGAAATTAAATAAGGATCACAAAAAAAATTAAACAGGTATCCACGAAAGGAGGGGGGGGTAACGGAGGAAAGAAGACACAGAAAAGAGAGAGAGAGAGAGAGAGAAAAAAAAAGAAAGAAAGAACGAAGGAAAGAAAGAAAGACAGAGAGAGAGAGAGAGAGAAAGAAACATAAAGAAAGAAAGAACGAAACAAAGAAAGAGCGGAAGAAAGCAAGAAAGCAAGAAAGAACGAAATACATAAAGCATAGTTATAAGGAAAGAAAGAAATCAAAAATACACAAATAGATAAATAAAGAAAGCTATAAGGAAAGAAAAAAGAAAACACAAGGAAAGGACGAAAGAGAGTTAGAAACAAAGAAAAGCAAATAATACAGACATAACGAATGAACAAAAATGGAGAAATAAAGAAAGACGAAATGACATAAATTAGCTAAGATGTTGTTTTGTTTTATGTTATCTTCTGTTATGTTGTATCGTCGTCTTTTATTATGTTATTATATGCTATAGGAAGCAAGGTTCTGTTATGTCAGAAAATGTCACACTATTTTTGTGATGTCGAACAATCTTATGTCGTTCTTATGGTTTACTATGTTATATTATGTTATAGAGTGCTAACGGAAGACGAGACACGAACAGGCACGGAAGAACGAAAGACCCACCGCCGCGCTTTTCGAGCCGTGCAAGCTTGATTCAAACAGTGTTTTCGAAACCCATCATGTGAGCGTTATGTCTGCAAATGGGGGGGGGCTGCGCCCCCCCCAACCCCCCCGCTAACCAGAATCGCCAAACGAGGGGGTGTGTTTAAGATAGGTGATGAAGCGGAATACCAGCAACAGCTACAACACGAATTCCGTCCTAAATGCGAAATTGTAACGAAAATTTGATTTTCCCGAGGAACAACCAAAGATAACGTATGTTTTCCTTCTGAAAACCTGAAGAAATTCTTTTTCATTTATTTCGTTCTTTTTCTCGTCCTTTCTTTCTTTCGTCCTGTCTTCGTTTCCGTTGTGTTTTCCTTAGTTTTTCCTAGGAAAAACACCATTTTTCTATTACTTATGGCATTCGTGTCATTTCTTCAGGTTTTCAGAAGGAAAACATACGTTATCTTTGGTTGTTCCTCGGGAAAATCAAATTTTCGTTACAATTTCGCATTTAGGACGGAATTCGTGTTGTAGCTGTTGCTGGTATTCCGCTTCATCACCTATCTTAAACACACCCCCTCATTTGGCGATTCTGGTTAGCGGGGGGGTTGGGGGGGGCGCAGCCCCCCCCCATTTGCAGACACAACGCTCACATGATGGGTTTCGAAAACACTGTTTGAATCAAGCTTGCACGGCTCGAAAAGCGCGGCGGTGGGTCTTTCGTTCTTCCGTGCCTGTTCGTGTCTCTTCTTCCGTCAGCATTCTATAACATAATATAACATAGTAAACCATAAGAACGACATAAGATGGTTCGACATCACAAAAACCGTGTGACATTTTCTGACATAACAGAACCTTGCTTCTTATAGCATCTAATAAACATAACAAAAGACGACAATACAATATAACAGAAGATAACATAGAACAAAACAACATCTTAGTTTATAGTGTAGTACATTGTAACATAGTACAATATAGTTTGTATATATAGAACATAATATTTGGTATATTATATAACATCAGGTTACATTATGCTAAATATTTTAGGGTCCATTACGATATCATTGCATATTCGATTGGACTATGTAGTATCCTATTGCTTGTATCCTTGTTTCTGTGATTCTTTCATGTTCTTTCTCTTTCGTATTTTCCAACTTTGCCTGTTTATTCTGGATTTATTTCTTTCTTTCGCTCGTTCATTTCTTTTATTTCTTTCTGGTGTTCTTTCTTTATTCATTTCATACTCCCTTCCTTCCTTTCTTTCTTGCTGTTTGTCCTAGGAAAAACCAGTGAAAATTTCAGGAAATACCACGGAATCCGTAGGAAAATCGTGTTTCCCCGAGGAAAAACCAATCAGATCCTAAGGAAATGAAAGAAAATCCATAGGAAAATAATGTTTTCCCTTGGGAAATTCAGGAATTGCTGTATTTTGAGTGATTCAATTTGTTTGATCCTTATTTTGTTTTTTTTTTAATGCCTCTGCCCCAGGAATTGCTGTATTTTACGTGACTTAATTTTTTCATCATTGTTTTAGTTTTTTGACCCTGGTGCTTTAATCTTTTGATCCTTATTTATTTTTTTTTGATCCCTCACCCTGTCAACCACAAGCACAACCACAACCACA